CAGTACTACAACATTTGTGGGTTGGCACACAAGAGACTAGGGCATGGGAAGTCATATACTTGGTATTAGAAATCGAAACAGGATAGACACGGCGGCGATGGGAGCTAGTGGTCTGACAGTAGTTTTTATAAGAGACGTGGTCCATGTGGCAAATGCGTGACCATGACACTTACTCAGAGACTTGAGCCTCGAATTAGTCACCTAGACGCAGGTAGGGCCAATAACGCCTCGAGTGGCACAGATGGGGTGGCAGGGGTCGAGTGAAATACGTGAACCAGGGAGAGGGCAGACAGATCTTACAGGGCAAGAGAGAGATTGTGATAAGACCTATGGAAGGAGGACTGCGTAACAATATGGCAGAATCTGATCCACATTCCCAGCACAAGGATGAAGGGGGGTGAGAAGGCCAGTGTAGAGTGCGGAGGGTTCTCATGAAAGCCGCTAAAAAAAGCGCATCTTACCGCATTTAATTAAGCAAGTAAACAATTGTGATAGCGAATGCATGATAGGAGGATATAGGAAATGTGAATAGGCCAGGGCAGAAGGGGAGATACCATAACTTTTAGCACACGTTTGGTTAAAGTATCGGCTTCACTTGTCTCTGACGTATTATGGTGTTACGAATGGCAAAACTCACTGACGATGCCGACTATGATGCCGGCGAAACGTCTTGGAATGTACTACTCCACGGTCCGAGTTTGGAAATGAATATACATACAATGGACTTCTGACAAGGTTCGTTCCTCTAAGACTTTCTGTCAATTTGACTAAGTTTACAATAAAAAGGTCAAACAACTTGTATACAACGAAAGGAGACTGCGACCACACAAAATACCACACCATCTTGGTCTCCATACCTTCGATTAATGATATTCTTTCTTCTAGGAAATCTTGCTTGTTAATCTAAATATGTCAAATGAATAAAGATATACTCCTTAATATTAATGCAATTATGTCTTTCGAAAAATGTTTTAGAAGCAATTCATTTTATTTGGAGACGCCAAAAGCTTGGCTTTGCTTAAGTGAATTAGCTCACGGCATCGTAGTTTATACCTTAACATTCCTCAACGACTAGCGTTAAGTCTTATTCTTTTTATTGCCTTTGCCTCCTGTGCTTCATGTTTTACGATCTTTTTCTTTTGTCTTCTCTCAATTTAGTCTCGACCCTCTTCTCCTTATGGCTCCAATGCTACGCCTATTTTGACTAAAACTTCTAACGGACCGAATCCTGATCTGGCCTCTCCGAAAGTGGATTTTCGTCTATACCGCAACAGCATCTTTACCTGCACTCCTTCCTCTCTTGAACTTCTCATATTTATTACTTCAGGATTTGCAGTTGCTTTCTCTTCTACAGATTCTTCAGAACCAAGAACCAAGAACTTGACGTCAAATGCAATGGAAAGTATCGTTAAGCCTAAGAGTGGACAAACAATTGATGATGGGAGTGGGAACAAACAAGTCGTAAACAAAGTATCGTGTTGTTTTGATAATGCCGATTCGATGAGAACAGCTAATATTCTCCGATTGGCCTGGCTCTTTTCGAACTTCACCTTTGAGTCGAAAGGGATCGAAGTAGGATTCTTACTATATTTATCTACATTGTACTACTGTCGTACTCATTGGTTTATAATTTATATTATCTTATGGTTATGCTTCTTTTTTATTGAGTACATATCTATATTTTATTTAATAGTATTTTTTAATTTACTTTTGCAGGAAACTTTGTCATCATGTCTAATAAACTTACTTTGTTAATTAATTCTGGAAGTTGGAAGTAAAAACTCACCTGATGTTTTTTCTTGTTCTTAGCTTATGCCCTATTTGAGATTGTATTTAATATACATTTTTGCCTAGTTTTAAAGTAATAATTACCGAGGACTAAGTTATTTTAAAAAAAGACTATCTACAATGATTACTTACTTAATTTGTGATAATTGAATTCACTGGTTTCCGAAATCTTATTTAGGACATCGCTTTTATTACCATAATTCGATTAGATATTAAGACGAAATATGGCTTAGCTTTAGTTAAAGAAAAAATGGCCAAGTGTATTCGTGGCCTCTTATCCCTACAATTTTAAATTAGCTTTCTGGCACTGTCATATTCATAAGTCGTTGAAACTCAACTTTTCGCCCAAAAATGCTTGACGATAATATCTTTGCTTCTCATAGTTATATTTCGCATAAGGTTGGTACAACATTGCTTAATTTAATTTTCTCATTCTTATTTTACTTGTATGAGGCAGAGTTGGGTTGTCTACCAAGAGTGGTCCCAGCTGGAGCTGTTGCGTGTTTGCTTTGTCAGAATGCTTCAAGAATTTAACAAATACCTTTGCCGAACTCGCTACAATGTTCTCTTTTCTATATCGCCTTCTTAGTCTTATTTTAATCTATATTATTATCATCCATGGTTTAATTTAAGCGATGAACTATAAGATTCTTGGAGAATTATTGTATTTCCCTCCATATCATTCGGTGTTAAGAGACGAGAGTATATGAAACAATTTTTTTGGTAAGTTACTTTCATCAAGTCAAAAGGGCCTAAAATCTGGTTTTCTCTTTTAATTCCAAGCATCTCATGAGAATTGAATTTTCATAACATGCGTGATTCTATTGCAGTCACTTCACTTTCCAACAGCATGTAGGAAAAGAATAGAATCTCCAATCAAATCATATGATGAATCACTAAGTCGACCCAGCCATACTCTAAAAATGTATGCAGGATTGCAGCCGGCCACCTTTATTATCTTGGTCCTTAATGAATTATTGTAAAGCATGCTGTCCTGCTCCGACGATGCCCGTCACATGACTGATGAAAGCTCAGCGGTGACTCATCGAGGTCGCAGGGCTGTGCGTCGACGACCTATTCGCACAAAGGTACAATTACAGCTCTAAGGCAATCCCCCTACTGTTTCGGGTGAGTTCAAAAGATAGTCTTCACTTGTCACTGGCGCGTTCCACTGTATTGCAGGCGAAACGTCTGGGAATGTGCCAAGTCCATGGTCACGCTGAAAATGATCATGAATATTATCAACTTTAAACGAGGTCCGTTCCTCTATGTCTCTTTGACAACACGACTAGTTTGCTAAAACAAGATTAAATCACTTCTATGTTACGAGTTCACCTATTTACATTTGCTGGAGTTATTTGCCCAGACTTCTCTTATTTTATTTGACTCACCTTTTTATTATTTCTACCATTTGTATCATTATCTATCATTAACTACAAATGGCTCTAAAATGACAGTTTTCAAGTCTTTTTATCTTCTCTGCTTTTTGGCTTCTTTTATTGATTAAAATTTACTTCATAAAACTGTTCCAAATAGCTTTGTTTATTTTATCCTTTATAACTCTTGCTCCTTTCCTTCAACTCATCCATCTCTCTCATCTGTTTATTCTTACTTTTATCTGCTTTTTTCTACTTATCTCGGTCTCATCTGTGTTTATTTATCTTTTATTTTATACTTTTGTATATTAACTGGTCTGTCATTAGACTTGCCTTCTTATATTTGTTTCCCTCTCGACTTATCTAATTTGTCCTATAACTATGATTATTTTATACCTCAAATGATTTTAGTCTCTTTTCTCTTGCTCTCTCTATCCTTATATTTTCTCTTAGCTTTATTTTTGTTCTTATTATCTTGCGTTTGCTTTTTCTTCCTCGTGGATTTCCCAATTAGGTCCGTTTGCTCAACAACTGCTCTGCGACGACAACCCTTGAATTAAATCTTAGCCTGAAGCTCGCCTATATCATATTCTCTTGTCGTGCTAACAGTTACGATTTCTCGTCCCAGCCAACTGGTCAATATAATTCCTCCTCTGACTACAATATTATTGGTACATGGTATCCTCGTGCAGTCGCCGGACTCGTCTGGAATCTAAAGCTCCATCTCCTAGAGCTGCTGTGGCTTCAGGGTTTCTCCAGCCTTTCCTTAATACGGCCCCGCACCGACTTGATTGTTTCTGGTGAGGCCCAAGGGCATAGATGGGCAGCGCCAGCCTTATCTCCAGGCTCTTGCCTCGATCCGGCCTTGTGCTTTATTTCCCAATTCAAGCTAGTTTTTGACTCTCAGCTGGAAGTAGCTGGACCCAGTTCTAGAACAGGGGACTCCGGCATTTCCTCCGGGACCAGTTTGTGCATCAATTTACCCATAAACGGATCAACCTATTGTCGACTTCTCTCTCTACTTTCTGATTATACTCGGTTATTGACTTCTATTTTTGGCAGTCCTGATCGAATGCATATAAGCCAACCTGGTTACTCGAGCTCAGCTTTTCTGGTTCCCCGTCCATATCTAACCAACTTGTGTTGGTCCGAAGTCTTCTATCGCCATCCAGCCTACAAATGTATTGTATTACTATTCGAGCCTCTTAAAGAAACCACCACTTCTTCGGTTCAATTCAGAGCGACGGAATTTTCTTCACCTAGCAAATTGGTTAATACCATGTTCAGTTCGAATGGCTTATCAAATGGAGCGACTTCGGAAATAGAGCCTCCGATCGACATCATCTCAATCAATAATCTTTGGATGACTGATCGCATTATTTCGAGCTGTGGCTTTTGGTTACAGCCCTTCGAGGTCGCTCTTTTGCCGTCCCGCTCAACTTTTGAACAAATGGCCGATTCCTCTTTTTATGAATTTCCAGGATTACCTTCCCTTAACAAAGCTGCAATTATTTGGCGTTTCCCGCAATCTAGAAGACCTGTACGCCTAAGAGTGGGTCCAGTTGTCGTCAGAAAAGAACTATATCTAAATCAAGACTTTGAGATGAAGGTAATCACTTTTCTGTCCAGCTTTGGTATATTACTAATTTCAACCTTGCTAAGACAACAATTATCGAACGTATGAAGTCCACGATGGTGTGGCCTTTAGTATGTTGGCAACTACGAGGCCGGCAAAATGTCTGGGAATGTATCAAGTCCACAATCTGATTCTAGATATTATCATGGATACTATGAATTCGGACAAGGTGCATTCCTCTAGGTCTCGCTGGCAATACGACCAAATTGCGGAAACAAGTTCAAACAACTTATATATAATGAAAGGAGACAGCGACCATACTAAAGGATACATTTTCTTTGTCTTCATACATTCGATTAAACCATGGAAGTAAGATTGCCTAACAACCGCTTATAGCCGAACAGAGAAGACAATTGCAAGTCACTTATGCCATTTGGCCATTTGCAATCGTTATGTTATCGCTCCTGGGTTCTGAAATGTTATGAGAAAGTCCCATTTGGACATGGCTATTGAAATACTTTATCACGCCTCAATCCAGAAATTAGTGGAAGCTCACAAGATTGAGAGACCTAAACTATTTACGTGCATATACATTAAGTCTGGACTCAGGCAGGATATATGCAGGATTATTAGTCCGGAGGATTTTCAAAAACTATCGAGTATGACTGATCAGAAGTTGCAAGAGATCCATACTTCGATCTCACCAGATGAGGTCGGATGAATCTCGTTGTACTGCAGCCGTTTGGCTTTTATACGATGTTCATCTTGACGCAGTTCCCGAGATTTCCTCCCTCGTTTCGGGTGAAAACGGGGAGATTAATCCAAACCCAGTTTCTCTTCATATCTATAATAAATGCATGCCTTGTCAGAGGACTTCTATCATAACTTATACTGTTCCTAATTTCGAGAATGGTACCAGTCCGCTAAAATCTCTTCCCATTAGCGAATAATTGCTTGACTTGAATCGAAGGTCTCTTCTGCCTTGTAACTAAATTGCATTCGGTGCTCCTATAATGATGTATCCACTTAAATTGCCTGATTAACGTGTCCATATTTAGAAATTCCGTTAGGGATTTTAATAAGACATGAAACAGGTCGCAGCTACAGCCCAGCACTGATAAGGTAACCTTATGAGAAATAAGGCCAGGTTAAATATTATAGAATAATTACGCATTCTATTAATTTTATTGTCGATAGCTAAAAATCGTACTTAAGCCAATAAAGCGGCTTACTGCTAGCATTGTCTCAAAATTGGTTCAAATGTCTGTTTTCCATTATGCTAATTTTATAATTCTTCAATTATTAGGTTGCAACCATTTATCCTTAGCTTTTGCATTTGTTCTCTCGAGCGAATCTTAAAGAAACAAAATCTGTAGGTTACAGTTGCATTTTAAATTTTCTAGATTGGAGCATTATTTTTCTGTCTTCATTTGGTTTTAATTCATATTTCAGTGCATTATTTTTTGCTGGGGCCTAATAAACTAGCTTTTTCCCTCAGTATTAAACTCACACATTAACTTATATCTCTTTCGTATTATGAGGTTTTATACAAATGGAGCCTTACACATCTCACTCACTATTCTATTAGCTGAAAAACGGGCTATTTATCAAGCAAAATGTTATCTAGATTCAATATCTATTATTTATTCATTCAAAATTAATAGATTATTTTTTTAGAAGATAGCAGCGATACGTTTTTCAACTTCAATGAATTATTTCAAGTCAGGTCTGATAAATGTCTACCAGACAGAATTATCAGATTAAAATATTTATTTTTTTAGTTTATGTACTTTAATCACTCTGGACCATTTATGGTTATGGCAGGACTGATAGTTTATTTTTCAATAAGGAATTGTGTAAGAGGTCTTACGATTCCGTCTTATTATTGCCTCTCGAAAGGCGGTTTCATCTAAGATTGACTGCATTTTCGCCTAGTTCTCATCAGCACCCTTGAAGATAGCCATGCTCGCCAAACTGCGATTTTCTTTTTCGTTACACAATTACAAAGGATAGTGGGTTACAAGACAACTGCAAATTTTCTGGCT